TATTTTATTTTTGTTAATGTTTACAAGTTTCTATTCATTTTCTACAGTTAAATTACATCTCTAAATACCAATATTACGAAAACTTGTGTTTTAAAATTGACGTCATCTCGCCTCCTATGACGTCATAATGTATCACTGCTTTAGTCAGGGTATAATATTTTGTATGCTTCCTTATCCCCCCTGCGTACGCCTCTGGGGTTGAAAGGTTTAAGTGCAGCTATAATCCCGCTGTCCTGTCAGGTAAATAATTATTCCACACATTAGCATGAAACCTCACCAGATGTTTTGAATTTTATAAATATGAACCATTTTTGGTAAAACCATGCTTAACTCGGGCCTCTCGCAGCATTTTCCAAGTATTTTCGAATGCAAACTTTCCATCTGTACAAATTTAATGTTCTAAAATATCCTACATATTGTTGTTCTGTTGCATTCATTTTTTTCAAGAATGACAGAAGAAAGGCCGATTGGTATGCGTATTTAGCTGACTGTCTTCGAAAAAGAATATATATAATCGATGAAAATAAATTAACTGTTTGATTATCTGAACTCTATATGATTTTCATATAAAAGTCACGACATTTGCTTTTAAACTCCATTTTACAAATCTTTGTACATGCCGTCTTAGCTTGAAGCTATAAACGACATGATCAATTCCCAAGTTTCTCGATGTAGACATATGACGTTATCGGAGGTAGATTCTAATCAAAATGACAAATACATCGTAACAACATAAACATATTTTATAATTTCTGTTAACATTTACACGTTTCTAATCATTTCTTAGAGTTTTGATATAAAAATAATATCTCTAAATACCAATTTTAGGAAAACTTGTGTTCTAAAATTGACGTCATCTCGCCTATTATGACTTCATAATGTTTCACTGACTTAGTCAAGGTGGAATATTCTGTATGCTTCCCTATTACACCTGCACATAATGTGTCATATTAATTCAAAGACATCCTTAGGAGGTGTAGATTTAAATTTGTTACAAATTCCCCCTCCTCCCTTGAACCCACTTTTATAACGTATTTAAACTTTTCAATACTGAACTGATATTTGCTTATAAATAGCTAGTTGCTCAAATGAGCAATGTGGATCCTGGATCTCTTGTTTAGTTTAATTTTAGAATGTAATCTTTGATAATTAAAATTCTTATATGTATCTTGAAACAAATCAAAAGATATCCCTCCTTTATAAAGGGGGCCGACTATAGTTTTATTGTGTGAAAACTACAGTAGCGAAACTCTTCATTTTTATACCGTATATAACTTCCATTAACTTCAGTATGCATGCAAAGTTTGAGGGAAATCTACCGTCTTTGTATTTTTGAGGGACCGTCTCAAAATACAGGTACATTTACCATAGGATTATATAGGAAAATGCCAATTTTTAGCACTTTAAAGCAAATTATACAAATACTACAATAGACATTTTGTTCCAACCATAATATTTGATGAGTAATACTTTATTATACAATATATGTATGAAACACACAATTCTAACGTCTTGCTACCAGTGGTGGCATCTCAAAATGCAAAATATTAGCAAACTTTACTATTTTTATAGAGTATTACAAAATATGTCGTACACAATGGATTCACATGAAAACATAATAATAATATTGGAGATATTCTCAAATCTCCATGTTTTAAATTTCAAGAGCATATGTTTATTACTTTTTCTTTAATAATATTTTTAATTCCCCTTTCTTTAAGAACTACAGATTATCACAACGTCAAAACACACTGCATCGACGTCAACTTACCTATATCTCGAGGAAAACGTAAGAGAATTGCAAATTTAACTGATAGTGTTTAAAAACTGCTGTTACGGTGCTGTTCTTGATGATACACACAGTTATGCTCAGGATCGACATCACATCAACGGTATCATTATTTTCGTTTTTAGACAGGTTATTTCAGAAGTTTCCCCTTTGGTTTTCAAAAAAGACAGGTTAGCCCAGCTGTCAGGTTTCATTGAGCGCACAAATCAAGTCATCTTCTTGGAGTACATATCAACATTTTTTTTTTTGAAGACCGGACATTGCAAGATATTTTAAATAATTAATTTTCTTCACAATATTTTACGTCAAATAAAATCATATTTATTGTCATGGTTACATCTGAAAAACATGATAAAGGTTACAGTAATTAACCAAAGATTTAAAATTTAAGTGTAAAAGGGTAAACTTTATTATACCGTAGATCAGTAAGATGAACACCGATCGCGACCCCCTATTTTGTCTGCAATTTTGAGTTACTATATATGAGTCCTCATCCAAAATACAGTTGTATACTTCTCAAAAAATCCTTGATTTAACAAATTTCACGAGTGGCAAACCTTAAGTAAAGATTTAAACCCGTTTTGTTTTTATGATTTTACAATGTCATGAAAAGCTGCTCTCAAGCAAATGATATTGTAAATCGATCTGAAAGATCCTAACTTAAAGCAATTTTGCTGGTCGGACTTCAAAATTTATCTCACATAATCAACGTCACTTTTCGTTGTGACAAACTTTGAACACTGTACTACAAATCGGCATAACCTTTTACATATTTCGTCTCCATAATCTTTTTTGGCATTTACAAACAAGTACTCTGAATGGATTTTGTTTTCAAATAGCTCTGAATGCTCATATAAAAAATAGTTTTTTTCGGTTTCACTTAGGTGGAAATATAGAAAATTATATGCCCATAGGATATGAATGTCTTGCCAAGGGTATATTATTAATGCAACATGAAAATTTGAATACGTGTATGAAATTTGATCTGAATACACTGAATAATGATGCAGCTGAATTGCTTACATCAATATGTATAAGTATATGAATTTTGACATTAATTTCTTTAAAGTGGGGTCAAGGTCAAAGGACATATCAAGGTAAAAAAAGTTGAAGCAGTTGAATTGCTTTCGTCAATGGATGGTATCTTTAAAACTGAGCTAAACATAAATTTAAGGAAAGAGAGACCAAGGTCAGAGAACAGGTCAACTGAAAAAATAGTGATGCAGTTGAAAAGTGCTCATCAGCATGTATCAAAATGTGAATTTTTTAACACAATCTTGAATGGTATGTATACAAGTAAGCTTAACAATTATTTTGGAAAAGTGAGGTCAGGTTTGAATGGTATGTATAAAAGTAATCTTGACAATTATTTAAGAAAAGTGTGGTCAGAGTCAAAGGGAACGTCAGGGTCAGGAAAAGTTCATGCAGTTCAATAGTTCTTATCAATATTTATCAGCATATGAAGTTTGATGAAAATATCTTGAATAGTCTCTTTAAAACTGAGCTTTGAAATAAGCTAAATGCAAAGTCTGACGGAAGGACGGAAGGAAGAGTGAAATGACAAACACTTTATGCCCCGGCCATATTAATGGTGGGGCATAAAAAACGTAATTTTTATGGCTGCGGCGCCTTGACACACCATTGCTTAAAAACATCAACGATTTATTTAGTTTATTATATCAATAATGATGTTAAGTAACTTACCGTAAAAAAATCATTGATGTATCCTAAGTGGTTTTAATTTTATGGGTTAGTCCACGAACTTTTCCAACAACCCATATAGTTTCAATATTTTTTACTAATACACAACTAAATTACCATTTTTCTTAAAGATTACAAAAGTAAATTTAAAGTTGTAAAAGTGCAACGATGTTTCCGTCAATCCCGTTCAGAAATTCGAAGTTTCAATATCATTGAAATAATTTTTTTATTACATATTCATATGAAATGAACTTGTATTATATATTATAAGTAATGACATAATACCGAAAACTTGAGAAAATGATTAACTTTAAATCCTTGTATAAGCACCTTTAAAACGTATGATTATTACTTTATACGCATCGATAATTAACACCTGTTCAGAGGGAGGGTGGCTATATTGATTTTTTTCATCTTTTATTTCAACTTAACAAAATATTTGTAGGGATTTTATAATGTTTTTAAGAGGGTAAACCAGGACAATCTTTCACAAAATACCTTTAAAAACTGACGAGAAAAATAAACTTTCTCCAAACTCGAAAATAACATATCATCTGAAGGGAGGGGGAGTTGAATTCTCTAGTATAATCAAACAATGGGAGACCAGCATTTCAATAAACGCTTTTCAGTAGTAAGATGTTACGTTAGAAAAATACCCCCCTCCCCCCACCCACCCACCTCCATGAGTTCCTTGATGTTTAGATTGACTGATTTGAAAAAAAAATAGGCATAAATTTATAAAACTTACATAATGATTTGACAAAATAAACACTCTGCACTCCTTTATATCTGCTAATTCAATTCATATATTTGGACCACAAAATACAAGAATTACATGTAAAACTTTTTATCAAAATGCGCAGTTATATCATATTCAGCTGAAATTACTTATATCTGTTTGGTCTTGAAGTATATAATACAAATTAATCAGATAAGAGTTTTAGATTTTTTAAAAGTGTGAATAGTTCAAAGTTTCTCTGTGTATTGGGTGAGATTATTAACTCAAACAAAACAGTTTTGTCAATTGGTACTCAGTAAATTGTGGGTAATATTCAGCACAGAATAATAGGAACACAAGATAAGAAGTCTAAATTTTACTTGACTTTACCTTACGCACCATTTATGCATGAAATGTATATATTTATACCTTTAATTATATTTGAGCAATATATTTTATAGTTAAGTTCTCCAGACTGAATGGTGACGAGGTGTCCGTGTTATTCTGTTTTCTGTGTTCTGACTCCGGTCCTCCTGACTTCACTGACACAGAGTGGCTGGACAGGCTTAATGAGATACGAGAGGTGATGTACCATAAAGAGAATCCTCTAACAATTGAGAAAGCTTACCCTGAATATAAACCCTTAACACACCAGGAAGCACAGCAGACTCTGGACAGACTAAAGTCACATGATTACCTTTGGGAAGATAAGGACAAGATAACGGAGGACACAAAGTATGAGACAATGTATAAGATAGCATCAATAAACTGTGATATAATATTCTTTTACAGTAGTTATGACACAGCCAGTGTGTACCTGAGATCAAAGGGATACATCAAAGAACCTGACGAGAAGTGTGTCATTAGTTATGAAAGTATCTATAATGACGTACTGATAGACCGTCTACAGATGAACATACTGACTCACGTCACCATGAAAGACACAAGTATATATGATGCAGTGTCTCAGATCTGTAAGTGTAAAATATGAGTGATATCAATTTATATTATCAATATAGCAAGAATATTTTCCTTAATTGTTTTTTTTTTTATTTTAAGTTTATTTTAACACATAAAATATCAATTCTATATAATATATATTTTCATTTATATACCACTACTGAAAGCAATGCGTATCTATTGGGTCTGTAAGTCTTGTCACGTGACTCGCTAGAATTTACGATAATTTTCACTTCCGGGAACATCACACGTGGCGTTGTGTATTGAGTTTAGCATGTTTCTGGTTAACACAAAGCTTTCGGGGAAAAGATAAGTAGTTTTAAAAGCAGAAGGAATATTAAAATACGAAATTGTAAGTCAGTGTCAGAAAATCATTTCAAAGAACTCTAATTTCTTTTCATGCAAATACATGTAATGCAATTTAAGAGTAAAAAAAATCTGAGAACTAACTAAGATATTTCATCATGAGACAAAGGGTTGTCTAGCTAGAGCACTAAAGGTCGTAGAACGTTGTTGGGAAAGAGAGCGGCAACCATTGGACCAATAAGGGATAAAACGTACCGAGGCCCAAGAAATGTGAGACACCTCGGCCCAACGACACCTCAAACTTTAATACATGTAACAGTTAACCTGTTCCTCAATATGATATATCCTACAATAATCAACTCATAAACTTTTTTGAGCATCATTTCTTTGTCTTTCACTTCTTAATTCATTTGCTTATTTAACAACACTGATCTAGAAAACTTAAGTTATTTCTCAACTGTAATTACTCCCAAAACATAGATATGACGTCATCTAAAGTAAGAACAGTATATATTTTCAAGACCATCTTGGGACCCAAATTAGAGACAGATGGTCTACTTCCTGGATGAATCTAACCATTAGACCAATATTTGACTGCATATGTTACTACCACGAGAGTTGAAAAAACAACAGCATCACAACTTTAATGAGAAAAAAATTGCAATTCAACGGATGCATGATCAGGGACATATACTAGGTCCCTGTTGTGATATATCTTTTTTAAGCTTCTTTTTATTTATTTCTTTTTATTTTACATTAATTGGTATTCAATCTATTATAATAATTATTTTCTTTATTTTAATGAAAAATGTATATTTCAATTAAAGTTTTTTTTTGTTAATGGTGTTGTTAAAACAAATCTGATATAAATAGTCTTTAATATAATTTTCTAAATCTAACATTAATAAATAAGTATTGAAAACAGTTATACATTTTAATTATATGGGGAAAAAATGGAAATGAAAAGTTTTTTCTTGTATCTTTGTCGTTTAAGACTTAGTTAATCAGCTAATTTCAGAAGCAAAACTTGTGAATAATAGGGTACACCTCTGAGTTCAAATGTCAATTTTATCGATGTCAAACAAAATTCTAAATATTTGCTTCATGTTTTTAGAAGTTAAACACATTTGTTAGGATAGAACACTATATTGATATGCTTCATGTGTATTATTTTAACAGCACTTTTAAAACATTTTAACTGTTCAAAAATTGTACTATGTCTTTAAAAGTCCTACATTTCTAGCTTGGTATGTACTGACAATCTGCATGATCTGATTACCAATGGATTTGATTTAAAGTAAAAAAAAAAAAACAATTACTACACATTATCCTTGGATTAAATATTTTTCACTTTGGTGAAAATCTCATCAACAACAAGAATTTGCGCGTGAATCAAAATGACGTACGCCATTGTACAGGACGCCATGTATTGGCGACAAGAATCTCAGTTCGATAGGTATTGTAATTGACATTTTTTTATTGGCTCTTATATTTTACAAATTAAGATAAAATACATACATGTAAAATTGCAGTATGAACATATAATCAATATTTCTAATATTTATAGACTTTTTAAAGAATCTTAAATAATAACTGAAAATTGTTTGGGTTCAAACTTATAAAAAGAAATAAAAATACACATAGATCATGTTAGATCAGTTTTCCAGATTATTCAATAATTCTTGCCATTCTGTGTAGAAATCTTCTAATTAATTTTCACTTAGTACAATATAGAAATTTTTTAATATATAGTTTTTCCTTTAACATTTTTTTCTAAAAACCATTAAATTCAAGTTACATTGACAATTCTCTTGTGCATTTCTAACGGTATAAACATAGTATTTTGCTAGCAATAAACAATAATTCAGAGCTGCAGTATAAGTATTTGTATAAATTCCAAATACCACACTTTGACATGAAATATCTTGGATAAAACATATATTCAAACTATTCCACTAATTCAAAAATTCATTCCAAAATGCTTTTATACTTTTACAAGAATAAAACCTATGTTCTATTGTGTCAATTTCCGTACATGTTTTACATGATGGTGATTTATTTATACCCATATTATATAATAATTTTTCATGTGCTATAAATCTATGAATTAATTTTTAATTCAAAGATTGCAAATACGTCTCATTATTACATAAAAAGGAAATGGAAAAAAATATTTTTCATGTCTGATTCTGTTATGCTAATATCAAATATATTTTCCCATTATTTAATACAAGTTGGTTGCTCAATCAATTGTTCTATTATAGTCCAATAATAGTCTTTGCATTGTATTTTTGAAACTGGACATTTCTTATTATCTATAGAAAGTGTTAATGTATTTCTATTAAAATTAGGTTTTTGCTTTTCCCTCAAAAATTTTCGCCATTCATATGGTATTGTCATTCTAATAGACATGTAATCCAGAAAAGAAGTGTTTATTCCATAAAGCTCTTCATGACTTAAAAAATCTCTATTTTCACCAATAATGTCATTTACATAGAGTATTCCACATTTGTATCATTTTCTCCAGAAGATGGGTGTTTATTGATCTTGATTTTATCATTAAACCATAAAATTTCCTTGAATACGTAAGGTTCTACACAAATATTATCATAGGTTCTAATTATAAATTCCTTCCAACAATTTAAAATGTCTCTTTAAAATTGTGATATATACATGTGTAAAAAATCTATATAGCATCTTGATTGAAGTAAAGTTTGTAAATTTATATCTTCACAATATGCTTGAAAAATCATTAACCATTTTGGTTGTTGATTAACAGAACAATACATTCTTTTAATCCAATTTAGTCTAAGTGACTTAATCTGATTTTCAAAGTTTGAACTTTAAGTCCACCATTATTTATTTTTTGATGCTACAGTTAATTTAACTTTTGGTTTATCACTATTCCATATAAAATTTGATATCATTTTATTTACTTCTTTTATAATCTCTTTAGAAATTGGTAGTACAGTATCTTGATAAGTAACTTTAGGAATTGCTAGTGTTTTTGTAATCAAAATCATTCCTATCAGAGTTAAGTTCCTCATTTTCCAAAGGTTGAGAGTTGCTTTAATGTCATCTAATTTGGAATTGAATTTTTTTACTAAACAGTCATGTTCCCCATGTACACTAAGCCAGATTACAAGTGTAAAGAATAAACCACTAGACCATTTTACTGGTGAGCTGCCCGGAGGATAATTCCTACAGCTACCAATCCATATGGCCTCTGTTTTTTTAGGATTTATCTTTAAACCGGAACAATATCTAAAATTTTGGATGATTCTCAATACTTCAAATCCTGATTTTTCATCACTTAAGAAACAAGTAGTGTCATCTGCTAGCTGACTGATTTTAAATTCTGTTTCACCAATTCTTATACCATGAATGTTTTTATTTGATCTAATTGCAATAGCCAATAATTCAACACATAAGATAAATAAGTAAGGTGATAAAGGACATCCTTGTCTAACACCTCGAGTTATCTTGAAAAAGGAGGAGGAATATCCATTATCGATTAAGCAACTTGTTATATCTGAATATGAGATGCATACCTATTGTCGTAACCCTTTGCCAAATACAAAAGTTTCTAAAACTTTATCTAAATATAACCATTCAACTGTATCAAAAGCTTTTTCAAAATCTACTAACAAAATAAGTCCAGGAATATTTTTAATACTTGTGTAATCAGTAAGATCTGCGATAGTTCTAATATTTTCTCCTATATATCTATTTTCAATGTAACCTGCTTGATCAACCTCAACTATGTAAGGCAGTAGTTTTTAATTCAACTTGCAAGAACTTAAGCTAATGTTTTATAATCAAAATTCAATAATGATATTGGTCTCCATTTCTTTAATAAAGTTCTATCTTTATCCTTTTTAGGTACAAGAGTGATAATTCCCTTTCTTTGATTTGAAGATAGAAATAATTGCTAATTGCTTTCATTTAAACTATTTACCACTAGATCTGCTATTTCAGGCCAAAAGTACTTATAAAATTCAAACTGAAGTCCTTCACTTCCTGGAGATTTATTTGGTTTAAATTCTTTTAAGATATTTTCACATTCATCTTTACTTATTAAACCTTCACATGTTAGAGAATCTTTTTTAGTAAGTTTTGGAATATTTTTTATCAATCACAAAGTGACTAATGTGTTTATGATAATAATCTTTTTCCAAGTTAGTTGAATTAAGATTTTCATGGAAAATTTCTTCTTCCTTGAGAATTTCATTTTTATCGCATATAATTTTATCATTAACTATTAACTTATCTATACACTTATTTCTGTAGTTTCTTTTTTCTAAAGACAAAAAATATTTTGTAGATTTTTTCTTCCTCTTCACACAATTTTGCTTGAGATCTCAATATTATGCCTCTTGTTTTTATGTCTGTTAATACATTTAATTTTTCTTTGATTTCATTCAATAAGGCTATGTTTTCTTCAGATGGATCTGCTGATAGTTTTTCATTTTGTTTATCTACAGTCAAAACTGCCATAGCGACCCACTGTATTAAGCGACTCACTGTCACATTTGACCATAAAAATTCCCCCCCCCCCAACGCTTTTCCCTATATATTCTACCTGTATTAAACGCACCTGTCTAACGCGACCAACGACCGTCATTCTCCAGACCAATTTTAGTAATTTCAAGCAATTTTACCTGAATTTAACGACTACATAATTTCCGATTCCTACTTTCGATTTTGG